TCTCTACTAATCAGACCAGGTTTTCCCCAAAATGTTTTCCAGTTATCTATGAAGTCCACGTTATTTTCTGGGCCCCACCTAAACAACCAGCGGTTGAATGACGACATGTGGGTAAACATGTCATCACTGGTCAGATTAGGTATGGGTCCATAGAAAACTATGGAGTCCAACATTGTTTTAGCGAAGTTACACACCGACTCAACACTAATTTTAGTGACCTCCGACTGGCGAAGTCGGGAGTCATTAGCGCCGACGTGAATAACAACCTTACTGTATTTACGCTTATCCTTAGTCAGCAGCTTCAAATAGGATTCAATGTCGCCTGCTCTGGCCCCAGGAAAACATCTGACTATCAGCCTCCAATCGATTTTGAGACTGATTTTATCTTATCTCTGTCAGTATCTTATCTCTATGTCAGCATGTTGAGACTGTGATTATGTGATATACACTGATCAGCCATAACATTATGACCACTGGCAGGGGAAATGAATAACACTGACTATCTTGTTACAGTGGCATCTGTCAGTGTGTGGGGTATATTAGGCAGCAAGTGAACATTCAGTCCTTGAAGCTGATGTGTTGGAAGAAGGAAAAGCACGATGCGGCCGAAAAGTGTTAGGTGAACTCAATTAAAAGGCCAGACGCTGGACAACTGGGTCAGAGCGTCTCCCAGCAGGTCTTGTTGGGTGTTCCTGGTCTACAGTGGTTAGTTCCTACCAACAGTGTCTAAGGAAGGATAAATGGTGAACCAGCAACAGGGTCATGGATGCCCAAGGCTCACTGATGTTGAGGTCGACCTACTGTAGATTAAAAATTAGAATTTCATTCATCCTTTTCTAAAGATTCTATTTTCTTTGAATCTTTGTTAAAATGGTTGAAAATGAGAACTACTGTACATCAGCCTCTATTAAGAGAAACATTCAGAGGCTTTAGTGGTGATATCACATCTAGAATGAGGAGGCTGTTGAACTTGTCTAAATGATCTCTAACTTGTCCTCACGACCACAATTTTCACTCCTTTAACATATTTTATCACTACATGACAAATGCATGCTCTTCCTGTCAGTGGAACTATGGGAGAAAACAAATTCACAGAAGATGCACAGTGAGCTGCAACACGAGTGCCAACTGACAGCTGCACTGCCTCCTGTGTACACAGTATTAGGCAGGTGGTCATATTGTTATGGATAATTAGTGTGTGATGTAATTGTCCCTGAGTATAGGAAATGTATTAGAAGGTAATCTATGCTGAGTTTTTAGTTTTAATTATGCAAGCTGGACATACACTTTACATGGTGGTATCTATGCTCCACTGTGTCTGTTCAACCAGACTCAGTATGGGAGACAACAGAAGTGTTGGCTGACTTGAGGTGCAAAACTGAACACAAACAGGCCCTTTTGGTTTGTGTCTTCAGGTTTTTTCCTCTAGGTGGAAATACTAGAGGGGGACCATGAATTTTCTTCCATATTTCCTGGTTGTGATTCATTTTTTCCACTCTGTTGTGTTTTTTTTAATCTCTCTGTAATCACAAACATCATCTTCTTGCTGAAATGGCTCGGACATAATAAAACAACTGTGACATGATTGCTCCCGACTCCCATCTATTCTAGGGCTGGATTTTTTCTTGCCCTGCCCTCCCCGTTACACATCGTTTTCTTTCATGTGAATGCATGACAGCAGAGGCTGGGTACAGAGTGTTTGTCATTCTGAAGGGAGGGACTGTGGTTAAACTCACACCACGCACCTCTCCCCTCCTCTTTAAACTGTCACACTGACGACACACCTGGCTAATGACGCCTTCATTAAAGCACTACTCAGATGCAAAACAAACCACCGAAGAAGAATAACCATGTCATTATACCCATTCAGTTAGAACTTGTTGTGACATGCAAAGTTTGCTAGACTCGAATTTAACTTCCACCTCTAAACTACACCCGCCACCTGCAGCCCATATAAGCTACCTTGAAATCTTACCTAGTGATTTCCTCTTTCAGGGCAGCAGGGTCAGGTGGGTAAAACTTGACACGCAAACACATAGTGAATGGAGGCTGGGCTGTGGAAGGAAGACAAACATTTACAAGCTATTGTCATATATTGTTTCTGTGTGTCTGTCTTTTTCTGTTTTTCTAATCATAACTTAGGAGGTTTATAACTTTGGTATTTAACCAACTAATCAGACATGTTAACAGAAGTACTTACATTTCATTTGTTTGGCAATTGACTTTGTAAAATCCAACCAGTGCTGAAAGAGAGAAAGAGTAGTAGAAGTAAAGACCTGCACTTTGAATACTGAATCTATAGCTGCTAAACTGTCAGTCTGAGGGTCTGACTGCTCAGCCGCTGAATCTATAGCTGGAAGGTGCAGTGGAATTTCCCCCCAAGTCCTCGCCTTCTGTTTGTTTATGTAGACTCCCTCCAATGCAGTCATCGTGCAAAGAGATATACAGTATAAGCAAGCTGTTTGGAAGATAATCAGGAAAGTGTCATTTTCTGCCAGAGTGCTATACATCATGAGCTGAAACTGGCTTTAATACGTGAGCTGGTAACATGCTGACAATACTGGGCTAACTGATACTATCTTTGTTAGCTTTATTTTAGCAACACCTGCATGTCACAGTTTATTGGCTTTACCTTTTGGATTTCTCCTAATTACGTTAATCCAGTTCTTATTCTATTCTATTTTTTATTCTACTCTATTTTAGTTCCTGGATGTTATGGCACCCAATACTAGGTGAGAGAGAAACGGTATTTTGATTTTCTGTATGTCCTGCACATATGGTGAATTGACAATAAAATCCTTGAACCTTTAATTCACATCATCTTAAAATGACTCTCAGTTGGCTGATATCCTAACTAATAAAATGCAGAGAGAATCTTTAATATTTTCAAGTCCTGTAAGTGTTTGTAATCGTATTCATAGTTCAAGAGCGCATGATTAACAGATACTCTGCAAATTCACCAAGGACTCTTAATTTGTGTAACTGATCTCCATATCAATCAGAAGGGTTGGCCTTTTTCCAACTAGCATATTTGATCTGCAGAGCTACCTACCTGTGCTACATATTTATGTAGAGGACATAAAGAGTCATTAGCACAGCAGTGTCATTTATGCTTAACAACATTTAAATAAAGCATCTGTCTCTGAGACCTGGTCATCTACAGACTCTAAATGACATTGTAGAGATGGTAATACAGTAACTCACTAAACAGTTACTGTACAGTTAAATGCAGTCACAGTGAGAGCAGCAATAAAAAACAACAGGCGCAAGATGGAGATATGACAGAGAGGAGGAGGAGGGCAGATCACATCATGAGTCACGGTACAGCACAGTGACACCACTGGACTCAGTTGGTTTCTATTAAAAATTAATATTTACCCTCTGCTTGTCTGGGTCAACATATCTGATGCCAAAGTAGTCTTTCTCTAGTAGGTTGAGATGGTGGCAGATGAGGTCAAACAGGTACTGTCCCTTAGCATCACGCTGAAAAAGAAATGACATGAGAAAGTAAACAGTATGTGAACACTCTGACAAAGTAAACATCACACATTATATAGAGTGAGGGTGACATGCTAAAGACACACCGAGTGTGACATCAAATGACATTTTCCGTTTTCATCAGGAAGTCCATTTTTTGAGCCTCTGAGCTGCCAGAATGACCACCAGAAAGACTTTATATTTCACTACTCTCAAGGGAGATATATGAAGGCTATGAAATATTCATATTGAGGCAGCAGCCATCTGTATAAGCTCTGAGACATTTCTGCTGCAGACCCGGAAAAGCAGCCGAGACAAGGTGTAGGCAAAGAAAAAGGCTAAATAAGGGGATAATGCCCTTGTCATGCAATGCTGTACAAAAATCTGTCCCTAACAAACATATGAGTACTTTCTATATCTTTTTTGTCATCATCAAGGAATGTGGAAATATAATGTTTACATTTTTGAACCTCTGAATCACTTCAAATATGAAGAAACCAAATTAAGGAAACAGGCCTGCTAACCTGGCACTTGCAGTTTAATTCACTGAGCGGGGCCTTACATAAAGTACATCTGCTCCAGAAATGCACAACAAAACATGAACCACTATTTGGTCATTTGTGGCAAAGCAAAGCTTCCATCAGACATGCAGTGCAGGCTACAGCTCAGCCTCATACGATAAAACTGAACAGCAAAAGCATGTTGTCCTGATGAAAAGAGGGATTTCCTTAATGCAGCATCTGGTTCACATGATATTGAAATTTTAGTAAAAATAGCATTGTCACTGGAAGCAAAAGTAATGAAACAATAGTACTTTTAGATGACACCTTCAAGCTCTAGTTTCTTTGTCCACCCTCGCCAACACAAACACTTATTTGCTTTTTATACAAGATGAGAACACTGATTCTACTATCATGTGAAAGTACAACCAGCAGCTGGCTAGCTTAGCTGGATGACCAAAAGTATCAGATAGCCTGGTTCTGCTATCTGAATGAACAAGTTATATTTTGTTTGTTTAATCTGTAGAAAAACAGAAGTATTAAAATTGTGTTTTATATTATGTGTCAGGCCATTGGCTAGCAACCAGCTAAGCTGTTTCCTCCACTTCACTTCTTTGTGCTAAGGTAACTGGCTAGTGGCACTGATCGATTGATCTGTCAGCAAGAAAGCAAATAAGCATTTTCCCCAACTTTTGCTTTTTACCCTGATTAGAATTTTCTATTGCTGAATTTCACCCACACACACACACCACTGTTTTTATTACTTACAGGCTCTTTACACTGACTTACATTAATTTCCTAAAAACTCACCCTAACCTTAAACAACATAATTTTATTAAAATTCATCGACTTACTTGGTGGGCACCAGAATCTTAAAGTCAGCCTCCATGCAAACAAACGTTTTGCTTACTTCTCCTTGCAGTTGCACACTAAAAGGCTGTTTTCATTTTTGTGTGGAGGAGAAAAGATTTCTCTGCATTCACTTTAAACTGTATACAAGGTTTTTATAACATCACAAGAAGTCTGGAAGTCAGTTGTGCTCCAGTATGAAACTTCCACAAGTGCGATGCAAAAACCTCCAGTGGACTGAGAATAGAAGTTTCAGTGATGCAGGAGACATCCTGGATCCGGCAGTTAATGTGCAATGCATGCATATTCATAGACTGTAGATGTTTGAATGAGACAGAGGGTAACATCTATTTTATAATTTAAGATGCAGAACAAACACACCTCAGGTGACGTGATTTACCATTGTCAGGGCACTTTAAGATTAGTTTTATTGTCCTTCTTTCTGTGGGGTTAAACCTGTGCTACTGATAAAGTAAAACTGCAATTATTGTCATTCATGACCATATACTGTAGCTGTGTTGTGAATGACTGCTTATTTCATTTTATTAAACTGTAAAAGATAAAAAAGTTAAATTTTCACTCTTGGCTCTCCTTTAAGAACCAGGCTTGCTGTTACCTATTTGCATACACAACAGCTGAACAAGTTGGGACATTATTTAGGGTAAAGAAAAGGTCCATTCATACGGCTGACACAGTCAGATGTTCTGTTTATTCACCCCAAACAACAAATGTAAGCTAGCTAGCAACAGATGCACCAACCAAGTGTGTGCCTGTATGTTGTGTCCTGTATTTTTTCTCTATAAAGATTCATTAATGCAAAAAAAGATTTTCAACTAGTTCATGTGTGTTACTCCATGTTCTCAATTCAGGTTCGTCCTGTTGCGGTCCTATTGACAACACATATTCTGTGTGTGCTTGAGCCAGCACTTCATTGAAACTAAAAACATTCAATTCCAAAATGTGACTGGAGTCAAAACAACACTGCATCACATTAGTCTACAGAAATAAACCTAACAAAAGATCTGAAGAATAAGTGAAGACGTTTTTATACCAACAAAGCATCAGATACATTATATGCATGAATTATTGGAAGTCATAAATATCGGTTTTAGTGTTTTTAATCAATTTTTTCAGCCAGACCTTAACCCACACCGGAGCACAACCCAACCTAAACCTTTCAGGTCCAGTCATGTCAAGTTGTGCACTCACCTGACCTTTCCCAGTATGCACCAGGCTGACCCTCCATCTCCTCTGTCCCTGTGTCTGTATGTCACTGCGATGTTAGGCCCTGACTCACCAGGACAGGCCGGCTGACTAGCCCAGCAACAAAAATAAAACACACACACATCCATGCACAGTCTCACGGTCTCAGCCTCATTGCTTCTTGTTCTGTTATAAATGTCTATGGTACACCTGTGAAACCTCTAGATCCACAGCATTTTCAGAGCCTGTGCCTCCCACTCTCTCCATCTGCTGTGCATTGTGGTGTAAACTACAGCAATCCCCAAAAGCCATCCCAATTAATCATGCTGGTACTGTGTGTTTCCTCCTCTGTGTGTAGTAGTGTGTTTGCATATGCCAGGCCTAAGTGCATTTCCATATATATGCGTGTGAAGTTTGTAGTTATGAAACAACAACAAAGGATGATTTATCTCCATCCAACACTTTAGCAAATAAATGAAAGAGGGTGAAATATATTAGTGGAATCCACTCATTCACAATGCTAAACTCCTGAGAAAACACTCTCTCACAAGCCACAGTTCTTTTTATAGCAACATTAAGCACACACCCTTTCTACAATGGATTTATCAGCTGTTACAACAAATTTTAAATGGCATGACTTAATAAAGAGCTTCTGAGCTCGAGTGTTTTTGTGCATTACAGTGAGAGAAACCCTATTGCTCCTGGTAATTTACCCGACTCTGCACTCTAATGCAGTTTGTAACGATGAGATCGAAGCACACTCTAACCTTGTTCTGTGCTCACCATGTGGTTCAACTAAAGGACGGCATGATTAAGCAGCAAGGCCTCTTTTTCCCCAAGCCAGCTGACCAAATACTTGCGATGTATATGCGGTGCTGTTTTGCATACTAATGATACACTCTGAACTTCAGAACCGAGGCTCCACTGGGACACAAAGCCAGTCTATGAGGCAGAAACATTATCGATTGAAGTTAAGTGTTCTTCAACATCCTTCTGAGATTTAAATTCAGTGCCAGGCTGCAATACACAGAGGAAATACTATATGTTGCCAGTTGAAGCTTTGGTTTATTGTTTTTGAGCGGATAAACTGCAGTGCTATTATGTGGCTTGTGGGGGAATTGCTTCTCTCAGTGTTTTCTCTCCCTTGCATCTTATGGCTATGGGGGAAGTACTTAGAAATATGCCGTCTTTGAATTAAAACTCTTTTACTCCCAAAACAGGGAAACAGGAAATCAGGATTTTAAATAACCTGCTATTGAAATAACTGGCCATACAGTTCAGTACCTATACGGTTTGCAGTGGGGTGGACTTTTGTTTTATATTCAACAAGAACTTTACACTGACTATAGAGTGTGTGCCCCACTGCGCACGTCTGTAAACTCTAACTTGTGAAGGTATATATCCATGATACAAAACAAAGGGTGTTGCTTGGCTTAATGTTTCAGGGAAAAAAAGTGTTACACATTTTGTTATAATTGTTTAAAAGTGGCAGAAAAATCAGAAAAAGAGAATTTTCATGTGGAAGTTGAGTACAGTAATGACGCCGCAGCAACTGGGCTTTAAAACACATTAACTGAGTGGAGCTTTAATTGGAGACATTGCAACATTGCAGAGAACTGAAACTATAATGAGCTTAATGTCCGCCTGGTTTTATATGGGTTCAACTCTGTACAGTGAGAGACTTCAGTTAAAAAAAAGTAGCTCAGAAAACACGAATATCTGTTTATTTCCTGGCAAACAAAAGTGCTAGCTAGACTCTTTTCTTGCTTCTCTACAAGTCAAGGATTTAGCTGTTGATACCTCATAATTTATTAAAGTCACCAAATGAGCGTAGGGTATTCATAATGTCTACGTCTGACATATTATAGGCCCTCAATTACAATTAGTTTGGTTTGGATTTGTGAAACATTTATAACGGTTTTGAAAAATGGTGTCCACTCTGTCGCCCCAATCCAGCTAATTAAATCCTATCCATCAACCACAGACTCGCTCTGAGTACAGCTCCCTAAGCTGTACAGTGTGTAGCCACTCAAGGGACTGTCACACTTTGCTCATGTAGACACATCTATAAAAGAAAATCCAAATATTAGATTAATCAAATTTTTATTCCCAAAAAACTTCATATTGTGACACTCATTATATCCATAACTAAATATATTGTGATAAACATTTTAGCCCCAGTTTTCCCAGCTGAGAGCAACACCATCCCAATTATGACAGTGAACAAACTGCACATTTTATTTAAAAAAAATAAAAAGGCTTGTGATTATCTTGTCAGCTTCCATTCACTTTATGGGAAAGTTATTAAGGTCTCATGTTGATTTCACTGGTATTGTCTGTTCAGGACAAATGACTGGCCAAGACGCCCTGTTCTCTATAGTATGTGGTCCCAAAATGTATGTTTATGACAAGCAGCAATTTTGGATTCAACTGAATTTAGAAGACAAAGTAATC